TTTGTTTTTATGGTTTTGTCTAATGTTAGGTGAGTTTCTGGGTGGTGAGGGAGATTCTTCATGCTCAAACTCTGAAGATCAGGGCAGAAGTGTTGAGCCTCTATATCAGAACAGCAAAGGTAAAGAAAAACTCCATTCAGCACATGTGCACTACTTAAGTGATTATTCTAGTTGCTAACCTTCTTTCTCTCTTCTTGCAGAAACTGTGTGACATGAATAATCTCCATGCAGTGATGGCAGTAGTATCTGCTTTACAGAGCGCCCCCATCTTCAGGCTCACCAAGACCTGGGCTGTGAGTTATTGAATATATTACTTACTAATATTTTGCATATTAGTTTTTACTTGCTAAAACATCTTTTTTTTGTGGTAATTATTAGAAAATGATTTGCACATTTTAAACACACATTTCTTTTGAATATTTTCTTTTCTTTTCATTTATTTATTTATTACTTTTTTATTATATTTTTAAAGCATTGTGTGTGTTTTTGGATCAGTTGGGTTCTTGGTTCATTCGATTATCATTTTGTCCAACCCAGCTGCTGTGTGTGTCCAAATTTCTTTAGACTCGGTTTTCATGTGTGTTTATAGGTTGTGAAATTATCCAGGCCTCTAACATGCTCTCAGTTCGTTATTGGTGAGAGCTGGAAACTGCAAACAAATGAATCACTGTGAAACCTTGAGCTGTTTCTTTCCAATACTTAGACTGATGAATAGCAAGGAACTCTGTTTAGTTTTTCCCTTTTCAATCTTTACTGGAATTAAATCGTGCATTTCATTTCTCAAACATGATACCCTCCATTTCAACACACTCCATAGTGGTAGGGATTTTTGTACCCCTGAAATTAATGTACTTTAGTGAATATTTTCTTTCTCTCTAATGATGGAAACGTTGTTGTTAATGATTTCCTTATGAACTGACAGCCTCAGTTTCTTTAAAGATCATTAGCTTGCGCTAAACCTAAAGCTAATAGTGGGATTTCCCTAACACTCATCTGTTTCTATTATAAAATAGGGCAACTATCATAAAACAGACACCTGTTCCTCAGGTTTTTATAACTTCACAGCATGTTTGCTCACAAATCATTCTGTAGACGAGCATCTGTGCTGCACTTGGGTTGCTGACATTTACTAGCATTAGCAACTTCAGGGTTCCCAGTTTTTTGGGGTTTTTTTGTCTCTCTCTTTTGGACCAGTACAGAACCACCAGAAACACCCAAGCAAGCTCATAGAATGCTCTAAAACCACTCAGAACACCTGAGACCTGGCAACCACTCAGAACACTCTAGCAACACATGCAATTCTGAACATTTTAGAAGCCACAAGACAATGCCTTGGCAGCCACCAGCAACTTCTTAGCACTTTGGTGGTGGCTTTTGCATGTGCAAGCAGTATTTATTTGTATTTTGAGGGGAGCTGTGGTTACCGTGGTTAACTTTGATAAGGATCAGGCTATCCAGCATCTCGGTATATCTGTCTTTTCTTTGGAAACATTGTCTTGTCTTGTCTTCAGTCACAGCCAACATCCCCCTCCTCAATCCTGTCTCTAGTGTACCATTTTCAGTCTTTTACATAACTGGAATATTCCTCTCCCCCGCTCTTTCTGTCAGATTTGTGTTTTCCATGGCTTCTCAGGCTAGCTTTCCTCAGACATGGCCAAACGCACACACTCCTATATAGTGGGCTCTGAACGTACTTCTGTGTGGCTATTTTTGTAATTTATTAAAATATTTTCCCTTTATAAATTGTGTTACCCAGTATGATTTGAGAATAATCCAAATAGCGTCTTGTTCTTCAGTGGACATTAGACCTTTTGTACAGATGAATTTACATAATCAGTTTCCTTCCAAGTATTTTTGGTGAAAAATGTTTTCTATAACGCATATTAAAAATATTGGTAGCACTTTATTTTGATAGTCCAACTAGTAACTTTTCAATTACATGCCAACTACCAGTCATTACATTATTAGTAGACTATTTATTATCTGCCAACAATTTAATTTGATGGTCACTCAACAGACATTTTATTGACTATTAGTGACTTTGACTATTTACTCTTAAAGGGATAGTTCACCAAAAAAAGAAAGATTTACTCATCCTCAAGCCATCCTAGGTGTATCCACCTGTTTCTTCAACGCGGAAGTAAGCCTATGGGTGAGACTTCCGGTTCATTAGCCGCTATAGGTAAATAACGAGGAGAATAACAACATGCCGTAAACGGTAAAACTGTTTGCGTTACAAACCAGTGTGTTCGTAATTAATGCATTAAAATTATATAAGACACACCAACTTTCAATATCAAGCAGCAAAACGAACTGTTTTGTTCAGCTAAAAATAGCTAAATGGAGTGGACGCAGATGAGACCGGAAGCCAGACCCATAGAATTTACAAATGGCTGCGCCCATTTTTACACCAAGAAAAGAAAAAGGTGGATATGACTTTCTCCTTTTAGACCAATGCAATTGAAGTTATATTAAAAAAATGTCCTGGTCGAGTCCAAAAAATGTGTCCATCTATCATAAAAAGTGCTCCACACAGCTCCAGGGGGTTAATAAAGGCCTTTAGAAGTGTAGCGATGTGTTTGTGTAAGACAAATATCCATATTTAAAACTTTATCAACTGTAATCTCTAGCTTCCGCTAACTGTCGTACACGTGTTTGCAACTTCAGGGATCTTATCTATGCACAATCAGCTTGTAACACTCCAAAGATAAAGGAAAACTTGAAATCGCATCATATGACCCCTTTAATATGCATTTAGAATGATCACAAATTCAAGACATGGGGCAGAAAATTTATATTTATACCACTTCATATAGTTATTAAATTTCACACGAAGAGTGGCATTTTTCTCCCAAAATTACCATGATTACAAATGTGATATTGATTTTTTTTACAACAATTCAATAAACAATACGTTAATTAAGAGACTTACGTTTTAGACACCATATTGCCTGCTTTTGCTCTATTTCGCCAACAAAAATCATTCCAAACACAGCCACAGTACTGTTTTGTGTCTCTGAGCAACATGACGGTGTTTCGTTCCTGAATGAATCAAGCATTTAAATGATTCTGTTCAATCGCAATGACTCGCTTATTAACAGTGATTTGCTGCCACCTGCTGGCGGTTTTAATTTCACATTTTGGCTTTTTCTTTCTTTTCTTTTCTTATTTTTTTCATGTTTTAAATCATTTCAAATATCAGTATTCAACGTTTTATGTTTAATGTATCAAAACATTATTTATGCATTTGTAATTGCAGGTTAAATGCATTCATGTCTTGCATTAAACAGTGTGTAAATACATCTAAATAAATGCCATTTCTGATGCAGCTTCTGAGCTGATTTCATTTGCTTGGTAACAGCCCAAATGTCTTATTATTCTAATTCCCTGATTAAATGTAAGAATTTGACTCAAAAGATAATGGACACTTTTAGAAAAAAATGGCTTTATAAAGGTAAAAATGCCCATAAAATTAAAAAATCAGTTTAAACTTATTGGAAAAGATTCATTTCTATCAGTATGAACTGACCACCACACAGAATATGACGAATATCAAAAACGTTAGGAGTCAGCTGTCTTCGGCAGTCCTTAAGGTATCAGCACAATAACACACTCAGCAAAATATAGTCTAATTATCGTTATCGATAAAATCCCAGAAAATATCGAGATAGAATTTTTTGTCAATATCGCACACCCCTACATAGGACGTAGGTGTAATGTAAGCTCCAGTGAGAAGTGAGGAGAGCAAAACAAAACACCGGTCACAAATTAGAAATACAAAACAAGGAATGTAAATAAAAATGTTGAAAGATTTCAATATAAGCCAAGAGGAGACTGGTTTTCCTCTGCTTTAAACAAAACTTGGTTCTCGCGAGACTCGCCCGGAGCTTACGCTACACCTACTTCTACGTCATCTGCTGGAACGCCACTGTCTCGTGAACGCTCATACGACAGTTAGAGTAAACTAGAGATTATGGTTTATAAAGTCATAAATATGATTATTTTTCTTAAAGGAGCCCAGGAGCCGTGTGGAGCACTTTTAATGATGGATGGATGCACTTTTTTGTGCTTCAAAATCTCTGCCATAATAAAGCCAGGGCATTTTTTTATATAACTCCGATTGTATTCATATTATTGTATTCATTTTTGGGTGAATTATCCCTTTAATGTATCAAATAAACCGATTCTAAGACATTTAGTCCCTTTACAAACTAACTGCTAAGAAGTTTTGCTGTTCTTTTGGGGTCATTTGCAGTCATTTTATCCACACACGGACCTGCAGACAGAATGATTTTGCGTGAGAGGTCACATCAGGTGGCTTTTAATTTGGTTAGGTTTGTTTGAATTTACTGCGCGGTACTCTGGGTTTCATTTCAGCGCTATCAGCTTTTCCTTTGTTTGCAGAGCTCTTATTTAATCTTATCTCTGTTTGCTGTCTTTGTTTCTCCACACTTTTTTTTTTTGCTGAGAACATTACTAAACACTAAACATTAGTTTTCAGTTTTTTCTTCTCTTGTTTTGGTCAGGTGGAGATATTTTACGCCATCCTAAATGTGATTGTTTACAATTGCACTGCCAAGTGGTTGATAAATGGAAAACAAACAAAAATCATGTTTAATGTTTCATGTTTCAACTGTGAATGCTTACTGGAATATGACAGAGATGATGAGCACAGACACTAAAAATCAGCATTCTTGAGATCTGTTGTTAGAGACTGGATTGTTTACAGCCGAGTTCATTTAAATGATTTAAAACCTGATTTACTAAATGTTTGTGTGTCTAGAAACACATGCTGACTTGATAAAACATTGAAAAAATGTCTGAATGTTGTCTACTGAGGGTTGCTGCACTTCTGCATGTCACAGATGCTGATATAATAAAGCCAAATTTGTATTGAACCCAGATTATTCCTTTAAAAGGCATTTATCATAGACTGGTAAAAGAACTCGCTCATTGTTTTTGTTACAAAAACAACTCTTTTCTCCCTCTCTTTCCCACAGCTTTTGAGTCGAAAGGACAAGGCCACATTTGAGAGGTTGGAGTATCTCATGTCTAAAGAAGACAACTATAAACGCTTGAGAGATTACATCAGCAGCCAGAGCATGACATCCTGCATCCCGTATCTGGGTATTTTTTCCTTCCACTCTTATTTGCACACACACAAAACATAACCTTGTGGGGAGGTCCTGCTCCAATTTCAAAGGAAATTATAAATGCACACACCTCACGTCTTGCAGACATTTTAAAATTTGAATCAGTTAAAGATTTGAATTAAATTGTCCCATTTAAGACATTTCTGTCTTGTTTAGATATCCTCAATGTTCTAGGGATGCCTTGCGGATGATTTGTACTAAATAGCCAACTTGAGAATCAGCTTTTGAGCTTGTTTCATTGTTTGTGCAATTATTATTTCTGTGTAAATTAGAGCTGTCAAAATTAACACATTGACACATGCGATTAATTATATAAGTGTAATCAAATTTTCTTCACTCTATTATTTGTTGACGTTGTGAAAAATGATTGACTGGCAGAGGAAACACAGGCTGTTACAGGGACAGGTGCGATTTGTCATGAAACCGGTTTCTGTCATATCTGACAGCTGGAAGCATTTTGTATTGGGCATTTAAAAATAAATGGTATTATCACAGCTTTGTTTTGAAGAAGAGAAAAGTGTAGGTGGGACAATAAATAGCGCAGCTGCATTAACTTTATACGGACATACTGCATCCCACTATGCGTCTTATCTCGATATTTATATATTTACAAAAATAATTAATGGTATATGTAAAATATATCTTAAACCAAGGGTCCCCAAACTTTTTTCTGTAAGGGCCACATCATTTTCCTTTTCTTTAATGGGGGGCCGGGTCGGTTTGTAACAGACAATTACATGGGCCGGAGTGACTACTAGTATTATTGTGGAGATTTTATTATGATTTTAAATGTATTTATTATGCCTCCTAATGCTAGAATAGTTTATTTTGTGATGCACCGTACAGACAAATGATTACTTTTCAAGAGACATATAGCCTATTAAAAGAGCATTGTTATTACGATCGTAATGACATTTTTTCATATTCAGTGCTATTCAAAATCAAAACATTTACTTATGCATATTAATTGGTGTGAACTGTGGGCTTGCTTCTGGCTAGTGAGAAGTCCAATGTCAGGTTCCATTCCTGTCACAGCCAGTCTCAAAGACTGATGCAAATGTTCATCAGTGAGTCTTGATCTCATAGGAGTTTTCATCAGTTTCATGCATGAAAAGGTTTGCTCACAAATATACGTGCTACCAAAAAGTGTGGACATCTTCATTGCATGCCTTTTGATGTTTGGGTATGTCTCATTAGGGACATGTAGCTCACGGAATCGCACGTCAAACTCCACTTTCAGCATTTCCAGCGCTTCCACTGACTTTTCAGCTGGGAATGGAGACACTGGTTTCTCAGCTGTGAGACTTTGGGTAATGGGGAGATGAGTGAAGTCTTGCTTTTGCACTTGTCCCACAAGCAGTGTTAGTTTCACCTCAAATGCTTTTATGTGGGAATACATGTCACATATTAGTTTCCTCTTGCCTTGGAGCTGCAAGTTTAGGCCATTCAACATTTCTGTCACATCTGTTAAAAAAGGCGAGGTCCCATTTCCATTCTGCGTCGATCAGTTCTGGGACAGTTTTGCCCTTTGTCAGAAGAAAGGCGTTGATTTCGCAGCTCATAAAAATGCCTCAAAACTCTTCCCCGGCTTAACCATCGGACTTCAGTGTGGTAAAGCACATCTCCGTGAGCAGACTCTAGCTCGACGAGAAAGGCTTTGAACTGCCGGTGTTTTAAGTCAGTTTGCTCTGATGAAGTTTATGCATGACACCACCACCTTCATGACTGATTCCCACTTCAGAACTTTTCAGTGCTTGCTGGTGAATCAGGCAGTGGACTTGTAATGGTGGGGTTAGACCTCTTTCCTCCATTTCTTTATTCATGAGTCCTAAAAGCCCCCTCGACGCGCCAACCAAACTAGGAGCCCCGTCAGTAGTGATGCTGGCCAGCTTAGACCAGTCTAGACCCAGCTCTCCCATCGTTTGGCACACTTTACCAAAAATATCCTCCCCTGTCGTAGTGCCTTTTAGACTTTGTAGGGCTGCTAGCTCCTCTGACACTTCAAAGTTTGAGCTAACTCCGCGAAGAAAAATTAGCAGCTGTGCTGTGTCCTGCACGTCATTGTTCTCATCCAGTGCTAATGCAAAAAATTCAAATTCTTTCACTTTCTCCTGCAGCTGGGCATATACATTATCCCCCATTTTTTTCAATTCTTCTGGTGACTGTACTTGCGGACAGACTCACCGCATTTAAGACATCTTTCTTATCGGAGCACACCTCCTCCGCAACAGCATTCATACATTTCTTGACGAACTCGCCGTCACTGAATGGCCTACCGCTGGTTGCAATCAGTTTAGCTACCTGAAAGCTATAGCTCGAACGGATGACTGGTTCAGCTGAGTTTGGCGTACAAATGTATACTGCTGAGCTGATAGTACACTTTTTAGCTTCGATACTTTTCTCTGTGGCGGGTTTCATAGTATCTGCGCAGATTGTATTCTTTGAAAACAGACACTGTTTCTTGACAGATGAGACAAACAGCCACTTCTTTGCTCTGAACAAAAAAATAATCACTTGTCCAGTTTTGGTTAAATACACTGCATTCTGAATCAGCCTTTCTCTTTCCCAACCGCTTGGCCATTTTGTCGTCTCTTTGAATTTGTTCACTGGTTTGCGCGTCACCTGTTCAATCGCGATGGTGCGTTATGTTGAACGTACCATTCTGTTGGTAGGTGAATTTAACAAATAATTAGGCTACATTAATAACTAAGGGAAATTTTAGTCTGAAAGCCAATATTTATTATCAAATATAGACATGATATAAGTGAAACCGTATATTTAAAATTTAAATTTCAAAATAAATTTCTGGCATTGTTCAGAGGGGTGGTCCAAATGTGGGGGTGGGCCGTATTAACATCTGTCAAACATGTTGGTATGCAGATGAGCGGTCTGAACATACAGTAGTCAACATTTGAAGTAGATCAAAAAAGTTCTTCAAAGTTGTCCTAAGACAAGAACGCATTTTGGTTTTAGGTTTTAGGACAACTTTGATGAAAGGTTTTGATCCACTTCAAATGTTTACTAGTTTATTTATCCATCACATTTTTTCTTTTAGTCGTGCATAGGGTTGGGTATTGTTTGAATTTGATCAATTCCGATTCCGATTCTGCTTATCGATTCAGATTATTTTCGATTCTCAGTTTCGATTCCAATGTGATTAAATAATGATATCAAATATTTATCCTGTTTCTCTTTTTTGCAAACCATTTATTGGAGCTGAATATCATGAACAAAAATTAACAGGCTACATAAAAACTGGACTCTTTAAGAGCTGTCTGTGTTCAAACATAGAACTGCGTGATTCTGGATAAATTGAGTTTTTTAAATGACTCACTCAAGATGTACTTGTTTCATTACTGGATGAATCAGCGTTCTTGAGAATGAATCTCTTGTATGATTCAAAGACAAATACATTTTAACACCCCCTTTTCGCCACCTACTGGTGATCGATAAATCTTCATTTGAAGTGTCGATTTACTACACTTTTTAGCACGAACACAAATTTAAATGTTCAAATCACACTGGCGTGATCGTACGCTGCACGGATGAACCAACAATTGATCACAACATTGATCGCACACGTCAAAGCTTGAGGAATGAAAGAGACGAATCATTGTAATTTAGAAATAGAATCACGTAGGTGTTTGAATCGTGTTCGTGATCTTTAACGATCTATTAAATTAAAGTGCTTTGTCATGTTGGTGGTGACGCCTCTCTTGCAACATGTTTAGCTATCACAGATATTATACTTACCTTTTTTGCTTCTGATCGCAGATGTAGCCAAACTTTGGAATGCTTAGATTAGCGAGCAAGGTCCTGGCAGATCGCTAAGTCTGGTCCTCACAGATGAAAAAAAGAAAAGCGCATAGGAATCGAAATTTCAAAATCAAAATTTTAATTTGACAACAAGTATCCGATTCCTGACCTTAAGTATCCGATTCTGGAATCGGAATCGATTTTCGATTCCCATCCCTAGTCATGCATGCACACCACTTATGTGCACCCCTGATTATATTATATTGTGTTATACGTGTGAAAAATTTAATTGCCTGTGACGGTGTACTTGCTTTTTAGTATGAACATTCTTTTGTGAAATGTCATCCTTACACGGTTGTCAAAGCACATTCACTCATGTACTTACATGCTTCATTACATGCATTTTGCTCAGTGCCATGCTTATAATACTCTTATATAAAACTGGCATCGCTATTAGCAGTTATGCCCTGTTTATGTGTGTTGGAGTTACATCATCTTCTGAATGCCATCCCAGTCCTCTTCTGCTCAGTGTTTCTAGAGCTCAGATGGGCGATGGGAGACGCTCCTGAGCCATTGGCTACACGCATGAATCAGTTAAAGCAAAATCCTCTTCCCCTGTTTTCACTGTTTTTCTTTTACGCTTCTTCGTTTTTAACTGGCAGCACAAACTGTGTCTTGAGCAAATTGGAAAACATTTCTTCTGAGTGACATTAAAAAATGTGTGTTTTGACTCTCCACTTGACTTTCATCAAATTTTTCGCAGACGTGTCTGTTTTCTTGTATCTTTTTGGCTTGGATAGGTTTTATTGCGAAAGAAATACTTGATGACAAGATGTCCTTCGCTGTGCCTCTCTCCGGTGTGTTTTAGCATGTGTTAACATTCAAATGAGTTAAGATAGAAAGAAGTGGAGAATAAATATGCTCTGTAGTTCCTCTAGGCTGCGTTTACAAAGTCAGTGTTTTGGATTAACAGCATATTTACAATGAGTCGTGAAATTGTCCTGTTCATACAGCATCTTACAGGAGCAGATTGAATACTCTATGGCTACTGTACTATAAAGACAATATTGTCTGCCATAGAGTAAACCTCATTGTGATATATTACATACTTTAACTCATATTTTGTATGCAATTTATGTATTATTTTGTAGCTACGTTGTGACTGGGTTGATTAGTTTGGTGTAGGGATGCAAAATATAGCAGTTCTTTATTGATTTA